CAATGACTGCAGAGCTCTAGCAATGAACTGAAAAATATAGAAATTCCCATTTAAAAAACCGGACTAGCAAAACAGATGGAATAATATAATAATAAAATGCGAAAATAAATGGGATAACAATAAAATGGGAAAGATAGTAAAATAGAATTAGAGACTAAATACAATGCACATACTTACATATGGACTACACATACAGCTATAGAACTTGTTTTCATATTTAAAAACAACATATACCTACATATACTACATCTTATTTTTTAAATTTGGTACGTGTTTGTTTCTCAACAGATACATATGTGGTAACTGTCAATATAACTTTAGCAGCAATTTAAGTAACAGTCTTCAGAAGTATTAATGGCAACTTTTTTTGAGGCAATAAAGACTACCATTTTTTGAACACTTGCTTTTATTTATTTATTTATTTTTATTTCCAGCAGATACTGCTTCGTAACAGATCTTACTATTTGCTGCTTACTTCTGCTACCAGATTAATTCTGCAGTTCTAATAGAATCAAACAAAATATACTATTCCCTTCAAAGAATGCACTATTAAATAAAAATAATACAGTCAAAAGTCGTTAATTCGGACACCCATAATCCGGAATGATCTATAATCCGGACCTCAAAGCTACAAACTTTCTGCGAATGCGTCGCGTTGACTGCCTTTACGGCTGCGAATATGCGTGTGCGCAAAATACGATTACGCACGCGCGTTTAATGTATAACGGACGGTATAAGCTAAGCTAAAATTATCTAATTCAGTTAATGTTGCAGATTGCGTTGTTCCTTAATCTTCGAATTGGATTCGGCTTATTATTTTTTGCAGACTGTTAGACAGGGTTGCCACTCAAACAGGAGAATGAAATTCCCTGACTTTTCCAGGTTTTCCAGGTGCGTTTCAAGAAAATTCCAGTCTATCCGCGTAACGTACGTTGACTACGCTAAGAGGTAAATTATGGTATTACTTGTATTGTGTAGCAAATTCACTTAATTATTCAATAAATCCCAGAGGACATTTATTCTTAATTATTCTTGGTATACTTTGTTTGATAATTTTGTTTACTTTTCCACTTAAGAAACTTAATAAAATTTAAGATATATACATTGGATAACAAATGTATGTTTTATTTAATTATTACTCATGATCATCACCAGTTCAACACGAGGCTAATGTGGTCCTTATAAATCATGCAATGCTAAATAGTTAGGTTAGATTTTAGGTAAATTTCATTTGTGTGAGGTATGTTCTTAAAAAGCACCTTAACAAATTGAAAACACAAATATAATTATAATAGTTGTTGTTTTCTCCATTGAAGATTGAGATTAGAATCTTCCCAATCTGGAATAAAATAAGGCTTTTTTTGCAAACATTCTGCAGCTAAACGAAACAAAGAAATCTATTTTAATAAATTGAGGTATTTTATATTTAGTTCGCAGCATACATAAGAAAAAAAAAATATGTGCATTAAATTTCGTGATGGTATGTCATCATACTGCTAGAATTAATTTCAAGATTATGCCAGAGAAAATTTCCTGAAATTTAGAAATATTATTTACTAATAATTAATAAATTTAGAGGGAAGAAGCATCATTAAATTATACGAATAACAAAAATAAAGATAATTACTTAAAAATTGAATTAGAATAGTCAACGATATTTTAGCGAATATAGTTATATTACATGGTTAGCCTAGATGACAGATTACTATTTTTTATTTTACTGCAAAATGGCAAGGTATTTATTAAAAAGAAAAGTTTAAAAGATTTTGCGGTAAAATTCTAGTATACGGTAAGGCTTTGGCACGATTTTGAAAATTGTCGCCAAGACCAAAATGACCCGTTTACTGCGCATCATCATGTCGCCAAATCCATACATGGAGATTATTTTAACCAAAAAAACGTCTATGCAAAGAATCTCTAATTCTTTGGTCTATGTAAAGAAGAAAATTTTCCATACAAGTAAAATGCTATTACGCGGCTAGAATGCGGAGGGAAAATTTGCCAAGGGATTTGGCGACGGAACCTGGCGGCCAGAATTTCCCTCTCCGCGATGTGTACCGAAAATTGAGAAACGTGTTAAGAAGAAGAAACGTTCTTTGACAAAAAGAAAGCTACGAAAATCCGTTTTAAAAATTATTGCGAAAAATCCAAGAAGAAACGTTTTATCATAGGACGTTTCTTCTTGGATTTTTCGCAATAATTTTAAAAACGGATTTTCATAGTTCCCCCCCCCCTGAAAATTACTAACCTATGAATTAATTTACTTGCGCCAAAAAATATTTTCTTGTGCCGTGCGCTACAATATAGCAAGTGGTAAAGTGTCTCATTTACGCCGCTCCGCATCTGCGAGTGCAATCCAGAGCTGTAACTCGAGAAATAAACAATCTCGTTGTTAGGCGACGTGTGCACCATGTTATTTTCATTTTTGCGATAAATGCTTATCGACGTGGTGTTCACGTCGCTCGCAGTTTGAGACAAAAACATCTCGACGTGCGTGGCACGTCTTTTTAGCGCAAGTGGTTAAAGAAATTTTAAAGGATATTCATTTAATGAACTCTTGATAACATGACCTTCGAACTTCGACACCGGTTTCCAGCTTTGGCGGCAGATATATCACGCATGCACAGCTGTTTCCCTCTATGATGGAACGGAGCCACGTCTGTTGCAGAGAGGTTTTCCTTCTTTACAATACACATTCTTTGATTCTAACCTCCATGGTACCGTATACTAAGATTAAACCCATTTTGTTTTATACGAGAACAGGTACTTTCTTTAGTTCATGCACTGCACATGCGATTCTCGAAAATACTCGAAACCGAAAGTTGCGGGAAACTTGCTTGCTTTGCCTTTCTAAAAGGCAATCAAATTGGAGCTGCGAAAATTGGCTCTATGCCAGCAGACACTCACGTGATAGGCAATTCGCCAAAAAAGTTATCTCTTCCGACGTCGGCGCAAAAATCGCTTTTTTTGGCGGGATCATTGTATGAACTTCCCTGACTTTTCCAGATTTTGACAAAAATACTTAAATTCCCTGACTTTTCCCTGAATTTTTTGGTCAATTTTCGAATTCCCTGACTTTTCCCGGTTTTCCAGGTAGCGTGGCAACCCTGGTTACAGCAATTTTATAAAAGTAAGCTTGAACTTTCGATTATGTCAAATAGAATTTCTGATATATATTTACTAATATGTAAAGGATCTACAAAGCGAAAGTATGTTTCAAAGTCCATTAAACAAAAAGTGGAATTGCTTCAAAAAATAGATAAAGGCATATCCTTTGTTTATCTAACCATTCCGAAATCTGTTTATCAATTTCACGCTGCTCTGCGGCGGGAGTACGCTGCGGCGCGCAATGAATTAGAAGTTGATCTGTCAGCACTATCCTTATCTTCAGGGCAGATGTTTTTATTTTATTTGGCTTATAATTCCTTACTAAATGTAGTATTTCATCTCGATGTACTCCATCTTTGATATGATTTAAATCAAATTCCTCGTCATTAGTTTAATAAAATAAACAAATAAATATTAAGCTTTTTTTTGTAAATTTTGATACCCTTTAGATGATAATTGCTCTTTATTTCATAAATTACATTTCATATTTTTAATTTTATAATTTCTGCATGCCATCTTACCAGATTTAAACTGATGATCTATAATCCGGAATCGCCGAAGTCCCGACGAGTCCGGATTAACGACTTTTGACTGTAGTTGCAACAGGTAGATGGCTGCAACACAAAGTATGCATTTTTGAAAAGTTATAGCTTATTTAGGTAATTATCATATTTCTGTACACTAGATAAAAAATAAACATTAAAAATTTAATTAATTTATTAATTTGATAAAAACTAATACTGCAATTAAAGCAAAGAATGAATCTCAAAAATATAAAAAATGAGTTAATCTTTTGCTTATGATACAATAAATTTTTATAATTGGTGTAAAATACTTATGCATAAAAAACTTTTATATTTTGATAAACAATTAATGCATTGATTTAAAAATCAAAACTGAAAAAATATGTAGGCACTGGCATTTACAAGTCAGCAAAAATATTTCAAAACAACCAAATATGTTCAAAGAAGTAGAAGCATCCCACCTCATTAGTGCTGCTAATAATTCATGATAGTACTAGATATTACATTAAAAATGCATAAAAAGAATTTTATGAAAAAAGCTTTCATGCTTTTACAAAACTGTACAGAAATAATGATATGGAATATGATAAAAAATCTTACTGAAAAAATACAATTATTTCAACTAAATTTGATGGATAGAATAAATTCAATCAAAATTCCTCTATATTTCTTGTATACTATTTATAAAAGGCTGCACTAAAGCTTTTATATATTAATGCAAAACTTTTTTATTCAAAAGAATAATTAAATAGTTGGTAGTTATGTATTATCACAACCATCTTAGTAGAAGTTTCAGAATAGGCCAAACACTGGTAACCAGGTGCATAATAATTATTCAGGCAATGATATGCATAACAAATATTCAGTTTTCAAGTTGCCACTTTCATTATGTTCTTTTTGCTGTATTTGAAGTTCCAATGGCTTTTACAGAAAATTTATGATTATTTTTTTGCTTTAAAATCAATTTTAAAGTTTGTGCTTGAGGAATTTCCCTGATAGAAGAAAGAGAACTATAACTTTCTGCAAGAATATGGTATTTTGCTGAAAAAATCACTATCAAAACAATACTTCAAATTCTTCCTCAAAGCGATCACTATGAAATTTCCATCACAACAAAAGCAAAACCCTGTCTGTAACTAGATTCCCTGCTTCTTTTTTGAAATAAATATATACTTTAAACATAAAATATGTATACATATAATATACATTTTTTTACAATAAAAATAACTTTTCTTTTTCTTCCTTAAAATTCGCCAAAATGAACCAAGGTGGTTGTGATAATATGAAAGCACCAAATAATCTAATATTTTACCCTTTTAAAAAATTTAAAGATGGATACAGGCATAATATCAAGTGAAAATAGCTTACCAGGGTAAGCGATGCAAATTTTGATACTCCAGGAACTACAGTAAGATAACAAAAAATTAAATGAAAGAAACTATATATAAATAAATATTAGGTAAGTGAAATATTAAAGATAAAAGTATTAAGCATTTTTGGCAATTAAATTACTTATTTACTTGGATCATACAGAAATGATTGACACAATAGCTTTCACAATGAAACTATTACACTATGCAAAAGGAAAACAAGTGACACAGACACAAGGGGGCATGAGCTACTCAAAATGCATAGATGGAGCTGGCCACAAGTGAACGGTATAAGTCAGCGCATGTCCCTTTCGCCATCGCCATTGAGAGCGTGGACAGCAATGACGGAAGGTGATTATCACTGTCAGAGTTGGACAGCGTGGTTCCTATGGAAGGAAGGGATACAGGGTTGTGAGATCCATTGTCGCATGGTGCCAGTGTGCAAGAACAAAGCCCACTCAAAGCGTACCGTATCCTGTAGGTTGGCCAAGTTCAGCAGTGGAGTGGAGACCGCAGCCAAAGGTGTCAGCGCGGTATAACCAGCAACATTGCATACAGCAGCAAATGTAGCAGCCATGTCGAATTTGGTCATGGCGAACGAGCGCATAATGTTCAACAAGATGCAGGAAGAGACAGGCTTGTGCAAGGAACATTGCAGGCGATTGTGCATGGTGATTTGGAGATGCCAAATGTGGGTGCGAAGTGGGTGGATCTCAGACATCGGACTATGGCTTGCTTTACAACATGAAGGACGCGGTCAGGGGCCAACATGTTGAATCTTCTGCCGAATTGCATGCAACTGTCCATAGGTGGTGCACCAACACCCCCATAGACTGGTTTACCAAAGCCCTTAGGGACCTCCCAGCCAGATGGCAGAAGTGTATTGACATGGGCAGGGTTTATTTCTAACTGACGTATCATCGGTTTTTTATTAATGAATTATATTCCGCTCTGTGGCAGCATTTGTGTCATTCATTTCTGTACGACCTAAATAATATGAAATTTTACATAAATTTTAGGTAGAGTAACACAAAATCTTGAATTGTTAAAATCTAAAAATATTTTAAAGAGTACATAAAACATAGAAATGGTGGCTACCTTTTACAGCTACATATTAAAAGAAATGCTTTTGTGAAACTTTCTGATATAAATAATGGGCTCATATGTCATTTACACATGACAAAAATAAAATTAAAAAAAAAAAAAGTTTTATATGTTGGATATTTCAAAAAAACTATCCCATGTGCTACTGTTTATTTCAATTCAGTTATTTGACTGAAATAGGCACATTTTTGTAGCACTGATTTTGCAACTATGGAAGAGCAGTCATATTCTTTTTAAGGAAAGAGGTGTGAAAACTTCAGAAATTGTATGATGTCTGTGAGGAGTACTCTGTTCCCACACTGGGGGGGGGGATTTAAAGGCTGTTTGATTTGATAGCTACCATGCTACAGATATGTGGATTGAGGTAAAATTGAAAAATTTCTATGAGCATGGCTTAAAAATATTAGTGTCTCAGTGGGATAAGTGTATTCAATTACATAGGGATTATGTTGAAAAACTGCATTGTAATACAGTCAAATACCGAAAATCCGCCGGCCTGAAATCCGCGTTGCCTCTCAAAATATAAACATTTAGTTTATAGGTTCCGGAACTGCAACATGGAGCACAAATATTGAAGAAAAAATACTTACTGGATAATGACGTCATAATTACCAAATAATAATAAGTCATAACGGAAATACCAAATTATTGACATCATGATAAAAGTTTTTTTCCCTCCAATCTGCATCGAGGTAAAAAAGCAGACGATTAACTCAACTCTTCTTTCAAGTTCACGCTTCACGTTGTTGTACTTTCTGAGCTTTGTTATTTTACGAGATTGTTTAGTGCTGTCGTTTTTTTATACGGATATTTTGTAGACAAATTAAGAATATTTTAAATTTCAGTGCATTTTAATACAATGATGGATAAGAAATGCACTCGTGATTTTACTGCTTGCAACATTGGAAAACGTACACACGTTGCCTTGACGGTAATAAAAAAAGTGGAAATTCTGCTAAAGATGAAGGCAGGTGCTAGTGCTTGGTTTATAGCAGAATTGTATGGAATTGCCACACGAACTGTATATGATATACAGAACAATAAAGAAAAGCTGTTGAAATTTTACAGCAACAGTGATTCTAACATCGGAATCCGAAACCAGAAATCTTTACATGAGGCGAAATCGGCAAACCTTGATGCTGTCTCGTACGAGTGGTTCCGGCAATGGCGGAGTGATGGGGTACCTATTTCAGGACTACTCCTGAGAGAAAAGGGGAAGCAGATTCATGCTGATTTAAAAATAGAGGAGCCTAATGTAAATGAACAATATAATATAATAAATTTATATATGTAATAATTTAATGCACATGATTAATTATTGTATTAATGTACTTAAGTTAATTAAATGTATCTAATATGTATTTATTTTGCACTTTTAGTCTGAATATTATCTTTTCTGTCCTGAAATCTGCAAAATCCTAAAATCCGCACAACCTCTGGTCCCAAGCGCTGCGGATTTCCCAATTGAATAAAATAATCTGCAGTTAAAAGTTAATGTCACACTGAACTCTCAACATAGTTAGTGATTTGTGATGCACCTTGCTTTAAAGTAAAAAAAAATCTGCTGTGTACACCACGACTTCCCAATACGGAATATTACATTATTCACATTTTTTCCTCCATTTTATTAAAACTTATTTCCTCGAATTTCATTACAGATATATTTCTCATTCAATTAATGCAGTTCTCACTTCGAAGCAAGGGAAAAATACATAAAAACTCAAAATACCTTCATTAAAAATTTAAAGATATAGAAAAACATAAAACACCAAATACAGTTAAAACAATTTTTACAATTAAAATTACACTTTCTACGCAAAAACAAGGAATCCGGCCAGCAAGCAAGAAGGTAGACTTTTCGGTGCACAAAACTTAAAGTTTCCTTTTGGCCCCACTCGCCAAAAAGACACTGAAGATGCAGAAAGACTTAATTCACTGTTTTGCTAAGTTTAATTTGTAAATAAATGTGGCTGCTATGATTAAAAAGCCATAGCCACACTTAAACAACTTCTGGCTGAGTAATAGAGCAAGTATATATATTTATATATTTTTGGTGTAGCCAATTGTAACCAAAATAGGAGGTGCACAACTACATGTTACAGCAAACCTATATACACAATTTCAATGTTCTGAGACTACTCTTTTTCGAGTTATGCGAGATACATATATACATACATCAGATTCCACGAAAAAAAATTCTCCTAAATCCATTTTATATCAGTTTTATAATTCGTTAGGGAAAAAAGATAGTTAAATTGCATTCGATAGTGGTCAAAATGGATATTTTCGTTGAAATATGATAGCCAGAATATTTCGTGATTACAATACTTCCTTTACTTCGTACAAGGAAGTAAAAGAAGGCAAAATCACGAACACTTAATTGATTCTAAATTAAGATATGAAAATAATTTCAGTAGCTCCATAGGTTCTGACACTTTGATCCTTAATTTCCATCCTATGAAAAGCTAAAATATCCTTACAAAAGAGGTACCCAACCTAAATAACAGTTTTGTCAAATACGGTGATGCCTCACAAAGAGAATATGATCTATTTCATAATGACATTCATTATGTGCGATGCTATTTCTCAGAAGTTACTATGTAAATAACTGTAATCCTATCCTATGAATGAATGAAGAGTTATACAAAATTTCGAAGATTATTAAATGCATCACCACTACTGGAAATGCTATACATGAAATTATTTATAAAAAATACTTGCATACACTATATATGTACATAGTCTCAATTTTTTAGTTCGGTTTAATCTGTGTCTTTTCAATCCTCTATTGGAGAAGGAAGATTCAGCTGTCTTTTTACCAATTTGCTTATCTGCCTTTCAAAAGTCCAGGTTTCAAAAAGTTTGTAAATTGATTTAGAAGTTATCTACAGTGATCTCTGTCTTCTTTAGAATGGTCTTGAAATAATGCCTGGATTCAACATCAAACAAGTTATCCATAATGAAGATAACAATTTATTAGGGTGCAGATGCTTGACAGCAAATTCAATGTCTTTCTATTATTTACGGCTTTTGTATTGAATTAGCTATTTTTAAATAGAATTGTTGTTAAATTGTTTCATTTCCCCATGCAATGCTGCAAGCGATTTATTTGAAGAGAAAGCTACGCCGGAAAAATTAAAAATACAGGTGCACGTGCATTTAATATATCTCGTAACTGCACGCTTTTGCTTTTCGGGAAAAAGAGAAAGTTCTCGTGCATTTTAAAAATCTTATAAAAGCGGCATTAAAACACCTCAATTCAGTTGTTTTATTAGTTTTGTTTACAAAACTGCTGTGGCTTACTGTAGCGAATTCATGGTGAAATCGGATTAGCTTTCTCTACGTTTCTCTGTTTTGAATTAGTTCTATTCAACGCTTTCGTAGTTTAAAAGATAACCACTGTGAGATTTTATTATATTGAATGAATATTAAACGAATATCTGAGGAAATTCAATCATTTTGTTTTATTTGTTGTGATAATAATAAATTTTATTCACTTTTCATCGGACTTGAGCATTCAAATTATTATGAACCCATACACACACAACACTATTACTAAACACATTTTGGCTTTAAGAAACGTGGAATTGCTCTGAATTTTACTTTCAGAAGATGTTTGATAATTGCAGTTGATGCAGAGCCTTCGTGTTCTGCTAACCAGAAGAATCTTCCCTTGCAGCCTGCCCATACTCCTAGTTAAGAAAGGTATGCAGTGTTTCAGTAGTAATATATTAAGAAATATGTTTATTTGTCTACTCCTTTGTTCACTGTCTTTGTTTATACACCATTCAAATAAAAGGTAAAACATATTTAGCTCACGTTTAATGTATGATAAAATTTGCATATGTTTGATAATACGGAACATTTTTTTATTCATATGCAGAGGGTTTATACACTTTTAGAATAATTTTGATAAGAATTTAAAAACGCAAATGCTTTGGAATACCAATTTCTAGCAAGAGCTTATTATTTGAAATAAGAAATATTGTTGGCTACTTTTAAAATTATTCTTCTTTCAAAATGTTGCATGTAAACATGCTGTGGATTGAAGGATATGTTTCTACACTTTCCAAAGAGAAATATTCCTATTCCATAAGTTATGAAATGCATGGTATTGAAAAGTGCAAAATAAGCATCATTAAAAAGTTATGTAGTATTCCTAAACTTAAATCACTGGTAACAAGAAAAAAATCTGCTGAGGCAGAAATCAACTGTGAAGTCTTTAAATACATCTGTAGCAATAATAAATCAAACAGTACACCAATATTTACAACTTAAAAAGGGTAGTCTATATTTTGGGTTACCCCTTGGACTATTGCCAAGTTGTTGTTTTCTTTTTATCACCAAGTTACCATTTCATTTATGCTAACCCCAATTTTTTAAACATTAGTAGCCAAGGTCACATGGTAAGATCAGAAGGTTGCGTGTTCAAATCAGGTGTCCCGGTCACCTTGGCTACTAATGTTTACAATTAATTTATGATTAGGAACAACATGGAAATGCCAGGTCACTAAAATAGCAACGTTTTGAAACCAAAACCAAGCACTCATAAATAATAACTACTTGCCATTCAGCATAAAGAAATTTAAATATAAATATGAACTACTTGTTGCCATTCAGCATAAAAGAAATATAAATATGAATACAGTCAAAAGTTGTTAATTCGGACACCCATAATCCGGAATGATCTATAATCCGGACCTCAAAGCTAAAAACTTTCTGCGCGGCACATGCGCACAGGCGTTTTACGCGTGCGCGTAAGACCTTGACTACTGCGCATATGCGTGTGCGCAAGTGCAGAATACGTTTTCCCCTGGGCATTTAATGTATAACAGACGGTGTAAGCTAAAATTATCTAATTATCTATTTCAGTTAATGTTAATGATTGCGTTGTTCCTTAATCTTCGAATTGGATCCCGCGTATTATTTTTTGCAGACTGTAAGAGCAATTTTATAAAAGTAAACTTGAACTTTCGATTATGTCAAATAGAATTTCCGATGCTGGAACTTCCAAAGGATCTACAAAACGAAAGTATGTTTCGATGTCCAACAAACAAAAAGTGGAATTGCTGCAAAAAAATGGATAAAGACATGAAGAATGTGACAGAGAGGTTAGAGAAAATGAAAAAATTTCGATTGACAAGTTAGTCGGTGTTCTCGGCACAGCAATTAACGGGACTTAAACAGGACTTTGTAACTGAACAAGAAATTATGTCTGTTTACAGAATTAAAGAGAAAGTATTATCACATAAAATGAAGCAACTTAAACAACTTACATTGAAAGAAATGTTTAATAAAATAAACAAATAAATATTAAGCTTTTTTTTTTTTTTTTTTTTTTTTTTTGTAAATTTTGATACCCTTTAGATCATAATTGTTCTTTATTTCATAAATTATGGTTTCATATTTTTAATTTTAGAATTTCTGCCTGCCATCTTACGAGATTTAAACTGATGATCTATAATCCGGAATCGCCGAAGTCCCAACGAGTCCGGATTAACGACTTTGACTGTATTAACAAAATATTAAAGCTAATTTTATAAAATAATTAAACACATGAACAAATATATGAAATAAAAAATAATTATTTCTCATGCAATAACTAGGCCACTACACCAGCACTATCCAAGGTATGAGGGATGTAATAAAAAGGGATTTTCAAAAGAAATGCCACCGACAGTCTGATAATATGGAGAATGTTTTTTGATTCTTACTTTTGTGAATTTATGTGGCGATGGCAGTATACAGATTCTAGTTCAGATAATTTTAAAGAGTTTTTGAATGCTGTGAAGGAATTCTGTGCACACACACTGAAGACACAGAAATTTTTAAAAAGTTGATATTTCCTTTTTGTACTGCGAAGATTAGGTAACATGTATTTTCATTTTTATCCTATTCTCTTGTTTTATTTTGATTTAAAAAGCAGTTTATTGAGATTATAATTTTTTTCATTTTAATTGTTTCGTTGCATTATGTTTCGGAGGCCATTTTACTTGGGAGGATGTTGCACGTAAACAGGAACGGCACCAAAACAATCACAAATTTTTGCCAAGGGAGACCCAGAAATATATTTTTCCCCTTAAAATAGCTAAAAAACAAAATGTTTACAAGTTTTGGCCACCGCATGCAACTCAACATAGAACAGTTTGTAAAATCCTGTATAAGAAATCTCTTTAGCAAGAGATAAAAGAAAATACTCTGTGATCCTTGATGATGGATTTACTTAATGATTGCAAGAAAAAAGGTCTATTTATTATTGAAAACGAAGAGAAATTATCGCCAACACCAAAAATGACCCAAAGAACGTCTCTATATATATATTATACACTATATACTATTACTACTTACAATAGTATATACTATGTATAACTATATATATTCTTTGAATGACCCGTTTACTACTCATCGTATATGTCTCATTTTTACTGCTCATCATAAAGTCGCCAAAAGTAGCCAAATCCCGTGTTCACCGGATACTAGGATTAAACCGAGATAAAATGTATATATCTAGTTCCATCAATGCAAAGAAAGTTTCAATAAGAAGTTAATGTTTGTCACAGGATTCTCTTAGTGTGGGAAATTAAAAGTAAGAAGAATGAAAAAATACGTTAAAATCAACTCAACGTACTATCAGAAGAAGGTTTTTGTCTGATATCTATAGAAGAAATTTCATTTCTTAATCCCAATAACTTTCAGGGAATGAAACTTCATCAAGACAAAGCAACAAGTGATACTTGGAAAAATACCACTGCATTCCTTGAAAAAAGAAGGCTGATGTAGGTATTGCATATATATCTTTTCAGTGCATTCCTGCAAAATCTCCTAACATTTCATCTAATGTTAGAAAGATTTAGTCTCTTGAAAAGAGAGAACTTGAAGTGCCTTTAGTTTCTTGAAAAGAGAGAACTCTTTCTAAGTACAAACCCCAACATGGTTGATGGAATCTTGAAAATAGTGAAAGAGGAATGGAAATCAATACCACCAAGAAATTTTACAAAAAGTCCTTCTATAATGGAAATCATGATGCAACTTATATACCAGAAAAAAATATTATCAGACTAAACATTAAAAAAATATTCTTTACATTTTAAACATTAAACAAAGGTCTGAAATTGTTCTAAAAATGTGTAAACACCTTCTACGTACATGTTCATCATGTGAAGTGTCACTGCAATGTCAAATAATACTTTCAATGATTTAAAATTGTTTTAATTGTACACAAACTAACTTTTTTTAGTTACATATACAGTCAAAAGTCGTTAATCCGGACCTCAAAGCTACAAACTTTCTGCGCATGCGTGTAATACCTTTACGCATGCGCATATGCGTGTACGCATGCGCGTTTAATGTATAACAGACAGTATAAGCTAAGCTAAAATTATCTAATTATCTATTTCAATTAATGTTGCAAATTGCGTTGTTCCTTAATCTTCGAATTGGATTCGGCTTATTATTTTTTGCAGACTGTTAGAGCAATTTTATAAAAGTAAGTTGGAGCTTTTGATTATATCAAATAGAATTTCCGATGCTGGAGCTGGCAAAGGATATACAAAGGGAAAGCATGTTTCGATGTCCATCAAACAAAAAGTGGAATTGCTGCAAAAAATGGATAAAGGCTCCTTTGTTTCTCTAACCATTACGAAATCTGTTTATCAATTTCATGCTGCTCTGCGCGGAGTGGGGGAAGACATTGCGGCGCACAATGAACTGGAAGTTGATCTGTCAGCACTATCCTTATCTTCAGGGCAGATGTTTTTATTTTATTTGGCTTATAATTCCTAACTAAATGTAGTATTTCATCTCGATGTACTCCGTCTTTGATATGATTTAAATCAAATTCCTCGTCATTATAAATATCACGAATACAAATCAAATAGTTTTCTGGTTGCAATTTTCTAATTTCGACTATGTGTTGTGTATGCTTTATGCATACGTGCGTTGAAAGATATGTTTAATAAAGCAAACAAATATATATTAAGCTTTTTTTGTAAATTTTGATACCCTTTAGATCATAATTGCTCTTTATTTCATAAATTATGGTTTCATATTTTTAATTTTATGATTTCTGCATGCTATCTTACCAGATTTAAACTGATATTCTATAATCCGGAAAAATTGATAATCCGGAATCGCCGAAGTCCTGACGAGATGGGATTAAAGACTTTTGACTGTATTATACATAAGATGGAATACTTAAATGCCTAACAAACATATATGGACTAAATTAACATACCTATCAATGTCAAATACGACAGTATACAGATTCTAGTATACAATGTCAAATATAATTTAACGCAAGGTCTGAGTAATGCATGTCATTCTTTCAAAATTTACGATAATATTTGACATATTTTGAAGTTAACTTTGTCCAAGCCTTTACGTATTCAGGGGAAGGTAGGTCACATTCATCTTATCATAGCAAATGCATATTAGTTATTTTTATTTAAGTATGTTATTCTTTCAAAACCAAACAGAATATTCGAAATGTTTTAAATATCACTTACTTTGCTCAGGCCATAATTCTGGAGATGATCGATCAAGTTTTTCTTCACTTAGCAAATCCATATTAGAATCATCTGATACTAAGGATAAACAATAGATTGATATATAATGCCTGTTATGAAGTTTGATATAGCAAGGTGAATAAAATAATGAATTTCAGGCTATAAATTAATATGAATTCCTTATTAAAGAGAAAAAAATAATACTGAATCCTTAATCAACAGAATGGCTGCTAATCTTTGGCAACTCACTCTGAAGGAGATGCTTTTGTGAATGTCTTAATCTATACTATGAGCAACCATCAAATAATTTTAAGATTATTTGCTAAATTAACATAAACATACATGAAATTCTGCAAAGAGAAGGCATAAAGAAGCATATGAAATATATCTAATTATTACTAGAATCTCTTTTCAACAGCAAAGCATGTTTTAGCAGTTTCAAAATCTAGTCTCCTTTTTTTTCAGTTTACTTTCTACTCTCATTCCTCAAACAACAGTAAAAAAACAAATGTATCAGCAAGAAAAGAGGGAAAACGCATGCAGACAGGCCATACGATGAGATCTCTGACAATGAATAGTAAATAAAACAATCTCTACTACTGATACAAATACCACCAACAAGGGCTGAAATGTTATTATGAAACTTATTTCAAATTCCAGTACATTATCAAATATTTTGCTATGGAATATTTCTTTTGGGTCTACATTTTGAAATGCATTACATCTATTTGTTTTGTCTGGGATTTGTTTTCACTTTCAGTACTTTTTTTTTCCTGTATCTGATGCAAATTCTGCAATCATGTAATGATTTTTTGCAACTAGTTTAAGATAATTTTTTATATTTGCATATTTCTCATTTTTATAATTAGCTTACACTAGTTTCTTATTTTTTATGGCCATTTCACTTACTCCAAATAAAAATACAGAGCCATCATTAAACTAATTATGAAGAGCATTATAATTATAAATACATAATTTGTTGGTAAAATATATATATATATATATATAAATCCTTTTTTCACTCCCCCCCCCCTTCTTTCTCTTAAAAGAATGATTCACATGTCGGTCGCTCGGTTGGACCTAGGTAGCATCTCTCCAAAGAAAAACTATATATACAATCAGGAGCTCTCGTAAACTCATTTCAAAATTCTGAAAACTACTTTAGTTAAAAATCTGGCATAAATATTAATCTATGCTTCATAACACCATTTCACAAAGTTACTATTCTGGCTTTTCAAAATTAATAATAATAATTCAATGAGAGGGTTTAGAACTGGAAACTGCTCCATTTTTTTTGGGGGGGGGGTAATAATACTTAATATGAATACTTGAAATCTAACGCTTCAAGCATTAGATTTCAAGTATTCATATTAATAGGATTTGGAGATGAGGAATAGGTAAGTAGGAAGAGAATGTCTGATGGAAAAATACAAAAAGTTTTGGTAAGCTGTCCAACTATTCAATAAATTATTCCTAAAAATCTTTACCAATAAGGCTCTTGGACAGATTTTCTGATCCAAAATTTCATATGTATTTTTGTTTGGTGAGAATAAACAACATTTCGGTTTAGACTATATTTTAGAGTACCCCTTGGATTACTGCTAAGTTGTTGTTTCATTTATGGTCACATGAGTAGTTGAATGTTATGGAAACCCTGTTATGAAGTGACTGGTTATAATTAGGCTTGCCAAATTTTAGAGATGTTCAACAGGGGCACTGGAGTGTTTTAGAGGGTCGTTTATTCTCAGTGTTATGAATAAATGGTTACTTAATAGGAACCTAAACCATGGGTAATAATAAATGACACAAGCATAAAATTTAAACATTTTATTTCTTACATACTAATATTTAAAAGTTACTTAAGTTAGAAAAAAAAAAAAAAAAAAAAAACACTTTAAATGAGGAATAAAAATTTGAACAATATTTACAAGTACTTTTTATTGGCTAGGACTTTTTTTAAAAAGTATTTTTTTGTTTTGTTTTGTTTTAATCTTGTAAAAATCTTCACAAGCTAATCCGATATTAATTTTACATGTCATCAAACCTTAACCATAGATTCCTTCATCAAACCCCTATCATCAGTCCACGTGTTGTTCATCAAAGAAAATACTCTCTCATCTGGTGCTGATGTCCCAAGTAAGCAGAAGACATACTCAACAATCTTGATCAGATTGAGGACTGCTATGTGATTCTCCTAGAAGTGATCAAACAGCCCGAGCCATTTTTCTTCAATTGAAGTAATCACATCTCTGGTAGACTCTTCTTGCTTCCACTGTTCCCAATTTGAGTGCAAATACTCCTTAGCAAGCACAGCTTCGTCAAACAACTGATCAGTGTTTATTTGCATATCGGGTACATCAAGAAGACTGCTGTTAATCATTTCAGCGGAAGTTTCGGCATTTTTTCAATTAACAGCATTTGTTTTGGTCAGATTGACCCAAGAAAACTATTCAGCATTTCCAAAACTATTCTCCCAGAGGTCCAAGTATGCAATGCTTCTTCATCCATCAAATTCTTCTTTCACACTGTTACGGACTTGCTTATCTAGGTTCCTGTAGATGTTCTTTGCACCCATAGGGATAAAGTTTGAAGCCATTTTTTCTGTCAGGTTTCTTTTGACAGCTTTATGAGCTTCAGCAACCTCAAAAGCTGTAGTGTTATCTTTACCCATTACCAGGATGGTCTTGTTGAAGAGTGCAAGCTGTCTGTGAACAAGCCACAAGTACAGCTCGCCCGTTAAATCAGTAAACAAGTTTTTTATTGTTGATGAGCACATTTCTTGGTCTTAAAAAAAATGCTTTCAGACCTAAAAAAATCTGTAAAATTCTTTCCAGCTCGGGCATCATTGACAGAAACCGGGTGTTCCCATGTTGAATGAGTTTACGGTACTGTATCTCAGCATATTCCCAAAATTCTTTTAGTTTAGTTACATGGACTGTGTATATGTGGAAGTATTTATAAATCTTCACCAGTAAGGCATCAATATCGACTGGGAGACTATCTAATGCAGTTTTCACAGTTATGCACAATGTGTGCTCCACATCCTATTCCACTGATTTCCCATCCTAGGCAATTCTTGAGTCGATAGAAAACATTGTTTTGCCCCGGTCTTTTCACACCACCAAAGTTAGTGTTGCCGTTGTCTCCACAAAAGTCCACTACTTTGTTGTTCAAATCATTTTGCAACAGGACAGAGCATAAGTAATTTGTAAGAATTTCAGATGTTTCATCTGCCACAAATTTGAAATCTAACTGCTTTACTTGCACACCTGAATTAGGATTAAAGTAGCGCACAACGATTGGCACAAGTTTTATAGCCTTTTTGTTTGATGTAAAATGTTTGATGCATCCATACTTACAGATACGTAGTTGACTTGGTCAAGTCTTCTTTAAGCTCTTCTTGAGCTAAAGGAGCTATGGCATTTAAATCTATTGCCTCACACTTAGTTTTTCTAGGTGCGAATTAAGGTTAAAGAAATTTAGAAATTACCTTTGATGAACAAGAATTCGAATTGAAACTTACGCTGTGGTTTGCTGTGTGGTAAGCAAAGGTTGCCTCTTTCGCTGCAGTTTTTATCATTAGAACTCCAGTCTTAAAAAAACTGGTCAGTTTCGATGAGCTGGCAGCACATGCTAAACTTTTTGTGTTCACTCGATTGCAAATGATCTTTTATATCGGATCGACCACCGTGAGCAACAGAAATCTCAGAATTACAATGTGAACATTTAACTCTATCGTCTTGATCTTGATTGCCAGTACATACCCTCTCCAAAAAAGGGAATTCCTTCTGTAAATCCCCAGTGAATTTACTTTAACCGTTTTGGCATTTTAACAGAGAATGCATAAATTTTAACTTAAGGCATAAATAAAACAATGCCAGCTCACTAACACAACAGACACCACCAAAAGGGACTGACAACTGATTGATCTCTATCGCAAGTGGCTGGCACAGAGACTGGAAAGCCTCTCGCATTGCGCATGGTCATGATTGGCCAGACAAGACAATACGATGACAATATTATTTATTGACAGATTATCACTCTTCTATAGTTTTCACCTTTCATACAGTACAGAGATAACTGACAAAGTAATTATCCTAAATAATACTTAACAGTTAATTATTTTTAGACTTTTTTGTCATCTATAAAATCAAATTTAATTTTTACCGGACGAGAAGTAAACCAGCCGGGACACCAGGATTTTGTCCGAAAACCGGGACGTCTGGCAAGCCTAGTTATAATGCATGATTGTGGCGATTTTGACTGATAGGAAAATAGTTATAAGGACTTACTTAGGTATGGATGTTGGTTAGGAAGTACGCTGTTTACTTTGTGCTTTATACCATAAAATGCCTGCTGGTGGCTTAACTAACCTGAAGGCTCAGTACACTCTGGAATGACTGGGAAAGAAAACATTGATTGACTGGTGTATAAATGAAGATTTAAATGGCTTCATTCACCTCTCGGTAAATCACGCAGTGAGATTTAAGGATTTCGAAACTGGAGCTCATATGAACACCATGGAAGGTATGTGGGGTGTAATAAAAAGGGATTTATGAAAGAAATGTTACCGAAAATTCGGCTGTAAGGAGGATATTTTTCCTTTTTAACTTTTGTGAATTAATGTGGCGATGGCAGTATACAGATTCTAGTTTAGATAATTATAAATAATTTTTGGATGCTATTAAGGAATTTTGTGTGTCATACATATTAAAGGAACAGAAATTTTTAAATAAGATAAGTCAATATTTCCTTTTTATACTGCGCAGATAAGATAACATTTCCATTATGTTATTTCCTTGTTTGCTTAACCCTCCAAGCGTTACGGGTTTAGCCACGAAATTTCAAAGTTCCTCCAAATGTCATGAATAAGTGGTATTTTCTTGATTTTAATTGAAAAATGGCTCTCTCATTTTGTACCTTAATTCCTTTTCTTCCAATATACATCCAAACTGAAATCAGATACATTAAAAACAAGCAGAAATTTTCATATATAATGAATATAGAAGGCAGCTCTAAAATACATTCTATTTTTGGCATATTTTGACATATGAAAAGTAGCTGACTGTTTAACGCACTTATTACAAATTGGAATGAAAAATACATAAATGAAAGCCTTTTAATAGCACTATTACAGTTTAGTATGATATTAATAGTGCATTTTATTTTAATGTCAGTTTTATTACCCACAAAATATTAGGTATTTTATGGTAATTTTGTCTCACTGGCTATAAAAACCAAAATTACTGACCTGTTCCATCTGTGTAATGGTGTTTGGTACACCAGGGTACCTGAGTGACAAGGCTCCACCCCTTGCGGAACAGTTTAAGAATTGCAAATAGTATGATGAAATAATCTAAGAGATATCTAAGGTAATTTTTTTATAATAAAGTTTTTAAAGTGAATAATTAATAATTTAATAGAATTCATATTTAAGCCACCCAATATACGGGATCTGCTTGGGCCAGAGAATAGGGCTGCCACTGAAGATGAGATATTTCTTGAATTTGCTTTTTTTTTTTTTTTTTTTTTTTTTTTTGGTGAGCATAATGGACAATGTTTTATCCATGTTGACTTGAATTTTCCATTTTGTAAGCCAAGTCTCTAATGCATGAATGTAGTTTTGTAATCATTGAATGACTGGAGCTACGAATGCACTTTGTGCTAGGATCGCAGTGTCGTCTGCATACATAGCTAATGTTGTGTTGTATGTAGATGGTATGTTATTCAGATAAATATTAGGATAAATACGGAGGATATATTTTACTCTTATTTTTGTGAATTTATGTGGCGACACCAGTATAGAGATTCTAGTTCAGATAATCTTAGGAAGTGTTTGGATGCTGTTAAGGAATTGTGTTAGACTGAAGACGCGTAAATTCGTAAATAAGGTAGGTGGATATTTCCTTCGTGTAGTGCTAAGAAGAAATTTCCTTTTTTATGTTATTTCATTTAAAATGTAGTTTATTCAGATTATATATTTTTTGTTGGCTGCTCCTTTGGCTTATTAAGTGAATATAGTTCGATGTGTACATGGACAAAGTCTAGGGAGCGCGCAAAGCCAAGTTTGTGTAATTCTCTGACTTTTTTAACTGAAAATAGGTCGATGTGTACATGGATAAAGTCAGGAGAGTGCACAATGCCATTTTTGTGCAAATTTGGGATTTGTTTTTAGTGTAAATAGGTCGATGTGGGCTGATCTTTAGAATATGGTAACTGGTAGTTTGGCGACATTTTGGAGGTGATAAAGGTTACTACCTGGGACTTTGGTAATAATGTGAGCAGTACTCAGTTCCGATTACGCATTATTTTGTGTGAGAGAAATGAGAGATCATGGGATATGTCATGTGATATTAATGGACGAATTACGGTTCTTTAATCGGAAAAGGGGGGAAATCGGGAAAAAATCTGGAAATTTTGTATTTGGCTTTATTCTGTGTTGTGGTGAAACAGTGTTCGTTAATTTTTGGATTCCATGGCCCTAACTAAAGTGAATTCGAAATGGGTATTTGTGGGATTGAAGGGGTAGTAATAAGTGTTTCTTTAAGGTTGTGCGAGATAGAAGTAAAGATGTTTTATTAAGTTATTTATTTTACCTGGTACCTTGGTGTGACTATAAGTATGATTTTAAAGATCCTGAAACAGAAATAGAAAAAAGTTTATCGGACACGTAATCAAGATTCTGAAGAATAGGTAAGTTAGTATTTTTAATTATTGAGGATATTATTTTTTGCATTGTTTCAAATGTAAGGTGGAAGTAAAGTAATTTGCGTAAAAGTGCATGGAAATAATTTAAATATTTGACATAAGTATTTGTAACCATTTGTAATGTTTTGCGGTATGAATTCGTTGGTGACGTGTATAATATATAGATTTAGAGGTAAAAGTTTTTTGGATATTTTATTTATTTTTATGTGGAAATGCTCATATTTGGAAAGGGTATAAACTTTTCAGGTAATTTCATATATGTTCTTTTTACCGGTTTAAAGATTCAGAAAATTGTCATGTATTTTCGTGAAATTCTTCTAATTTGAGAAAAAAGCAGTGTACAGGATATCGTGAAATTTTGCGCAATGCCATTTTTTGTAATTCTGGGATGTTTTTTTAAGTAAAAATAATCGCGTGTACATGGTTTATGTGTATGTTTTTGAAAAAACGCGTTAAGGAGTATGGTATTGTGCACTTTTTCCCAATTTTTGCAGTGAATATTTGTCATAATTAAGCAGTTTTGTTAGATAAAATTTCTAGCATAAGTGTAATTCGGCTAGTAGATTGTTGGAAGAAGTGTTCAGTAGATAAAAAGAAAAGAAACATGTCTTTACTTCGTGAAGACAAAATGGCGGCGGGAAAAAAAAATAAAGGGTTGCTGTAGAAGAGTTGGTCGCCAAATTTTCGCCAAAAAAACGCCAAGTTACCATAATGTAAAGATCAACCGAAAATAGGTCGATGTGTTCATGGATACCGAGTTTGTGCAATCATTTTGGCATTGTGTAGGGGCGATTCGATTTTGGGGGCAAAAATCGCCGCTACGCAGGTCAAAGAATTGCACAAACTCGGTATCCATGTACCGCCAAAAATCGCCAAGGGGTACTCTAAAATATACTTTTACCCATAAAAAAAGTCCATCTTAAGATGTATTCACACCTCGGAGATGAGCAGTAGACGATGTTAAATAAAACACTGCGAAAAAATTAATGCCATATGATAAAAAATTAAAATTTAGACTACTGAATGGATATGGATATAAATGCGATGAAATAAATTTGTAAATTTATCAGTTTATAGATTTAAAGGTGTGATGCAATAAACACGAAAGCAGAAACAGGAATTTATAGAGAAATTTGTTTCACTACTCATAAAAAATACAGAGAAAGTAAAATAACAAGATATTTAACTGCAGAAAATTATTAAATTCATACAACGTACCAGGCATAAGTGGAGACAAAGGAGGTGTAATTCTCATATTTTCCTCAATTATTTTTGTTAACTTACTTTCCTGTTTTAGCGCCATATTGCGAACAAATGTTTTGTTATGTTGCCAATCCCTGTGATTGAAATTGACTTCAATTTCTACTTCTAATTGAGAAAGAGGTCTGGATAAAAATGTTTATGAAATTTGTATTTATAAAGCTAATAAGCTAATCACAATCAAAGTTTACAGAAGAACAGGTTAGCTCACTTCGGTAAACAAACGACTAAGTCGAGAGCAAGGTCTAAGTCGGCTGTGACGTCACTGAAGTCACAATAAGTTCGAATACGTAGACATTCCTTGGCTAAGGCTACAAGGCTACTATAAAGAATATAATATATATATTGTTGCGTGCGTACGGGTTCGTTATGAAATGAATGCACAAGTCCGATGAAAAATGAACAAAAATTTATTATTATCACAACAGAAATGCTTAAATTTTCTCAAATTATCATGCAGTATCACAATATCTCACAGTAGTTTCTTTTAACTACTCAAATGTCAATAGAACGTAATTCAAAACAGCTAAAGAACGCTAATTCGCGAATTCGCTATAATCAACAACGGCAGTTTTCTAAAAACAACAAACAAACTAAGCAACTACTACAAACTGAGATGTTTTCCTCCTTTTATAAGATTTTAAAATCACGCGCTAGAATTTTCCAGTACTTTCTCGAAATCAAAAAGAGATATTATTTATTTAATGCACGCGCTCTTGTATTTTCAATTTTTCCGGCTTAGCTTTCTTTTAATATTCGTCACGCGCTGCACTGCGCGAGAAATAAAACCATTTAATTTTAATTGAACTAACATTAGCTTTTTAAATACCAAATTCGTAACACTGCCCCCCTTCCCAGACTGGCACGTCCCGGCTACAATCACCTGACAGGAAGCTACTTACAACTGTGCTAAATGCAACTGAGGCATAAACATTACTTACAATATCAAACAATATAAACAATAAATGCAATAACTAAAAAGAAAATCAAATGCTATCAAATACTAAATGAACAAATACAAAACAATCAAATCAAATACACATTTATAAACAAAAGGAATGGTCTGACCTATTTACAATTTTACACACTGGCCATAAAGAAACGTAAGAGTTAATCCGAACCTACGTCGAATTGGTGCTTGACTAATCAGGCAACGGCTATGTCGTTCGTGTCTAAAGTTCACTCGCTTTCGTGCGGAACGGTGCAAAACGGGCCTGACATCTTGGTGTTTTCCCACAACTCCGTACTGACACAACTCTCGACCAAGAGCTCTGTTAATACCTCTTTTCGACCCTACATGATTTTGGCGTTTCTCGAGCTGCTTTCGGACAAAGATTTCCAAGGATTTTCTTAGGATGGATAGTCATGTCTTTTAGATCCTGAAAGCAATTCTACGGAAAATTGTATTTTTGCCTTAAAAGTCCAATGAGTATCATCTGTAATCATGCATGGTAGGCGGCACTTCCAAGATGACGTTAACTTATTATGTATTTGCAAACGCAGCTGCACATATGCTGTCCAATTTTAATCTTTAAACTGTAATTTTCCTAATGTTAGCTCCTGTGTCAATGCATACTGCAAAATTATTCCCAATTCAGTCCGTATTTTTGCAATTTATTAAAACGTTTTCACACTATCTGGCACCTACGAATATGCCCTAATTGCATTACTCGAAATGGTCTTATTTTTCCTTAATTCTTCGTATGTGGCCTTCAACCCGCAGTTCCACACTTTAGAATTATTTTTCTTTCATCTGTTTTCAAAGCCACTTGAAAATCATTGCTTTCTATTCCGTATGTTCTGCAGTCTTAGGTGCCTTCACTACCATTCCACCAGAACTTGAATCAATCTTCGACTTGTCTTCGAGACCATCAGATTGGCTCATGGACTCGCACAGCTCTAGGTTGATCTCTAAGTTCTTGCTACTTCATGAACAAAGCGCTTTTTTGTCGCCATTCTTTCAATTTATTAAAATAAATATACTTTCCCTTGTTTCTGTCGGGCATTCCGTTAAGTACACCTTTCACTAGTAGCTCTTAGAGATTTAAAATTGGAGCCTGCGGTATAATTACATTTCCGCCGAAGCAGCGCCGATAGACCGAAATCTAGCCTTTGATCAAGCCTGTTGCGTCTGCTCTCAACAAGTGCTTGGGAATTCCATTCGCACCGCAACGTAGAAAATGTGTCCTATACACCTGTAGGAGACTTTAGATAGTACAGAACGGAACGAGCAGGCATACAACATTTAAACCTTAATTTTCGTCGCTAATCTTTAAAAAAGAAGAAGTTGTTCATCTCTCCTATGTTTTGCGTTTGCTATTACGCAATAAAGCCTAAAATTTTTGAGGGAAAAGTATTTGTTGTACTTCGGTTGGAGGGTGTTTACTTTCTACTGACAATAGTGAACACCGCGAATTCGGCAGTTTTCCAATAAGCGTACACGTAGACCAAAAATCACAAGGCTTAGCTTTCTTTTAATATTCGCCAGAAATGTCATTAGCTTTTTAAATACCAAATTCGTAACAATATATATCTAGTAACTCTAGTTAAGGCTACTATAACGGACCTTGACTATAAAAGCTACTATAAGTATCTCTAGTAGCTCTAGCTCTAGTCATTCATAATTCACTTGTAACAGTGATTTTGCACATCCTTTCGAGACATTTTCTATTTTTCAATTTTCGAATAATTAGAATTCAAACATATCTAACAAAATATGAAGTTTACACAATTATGCACAGCAAACGCGAAATGTGTACGGGAAAGTGTACTTTGCTGTAACTGGTTGGAGGGTTGTTATTTTCATGCCAAACTGAACACTGGCGCCAAATACGTAAAGGTAGTAAAAATACAAATCGTATTCCGCCATTTTCGTCGGTGAGTGTTTTGGTCGCGCGTGCTAATTTTTAATTTGATTTTCTTATTTGTATTATTTTTATTATGTCTTTGACTAAGCAAACAGGAAAAATGGAGATACTTATAATCGGAGATTCGATGATAAAATATTTAAAAGACTATTTATTGCTGAATTTACTGTATTACGAAGTTCATTTTCATTGTTTCCCGGGTGCTATGATTGAAAGGTTGACACGCAAGATAACCTTGACAGACAATCAATTTAAGTTAGTTTTGGTTCACTTTGGAATCAATAACTCTTGTGACGCCTTGGGTGATATTCATCATAAATATGATTGTCTCTATAAGGTTATTCAGCTCTTAAACCCGAAGATCATTCTCTTTTCAGGTATCCTCCCGCGGGAACGAAATTTAATCGAGAATAGTTTCAACCCGCATGCGCGGATATGCATCGTCTTTTAACATAGGACGTTTTCTCGGAATTCTTAAAATTGCCTCAATTTATCCGTGAATACATCTTCAGCACAATCATATCTTCGCGAAAATTGTACTTTTTGCTTCAAGGTAGATACGCTAAGGCCCATCAGTTTAGATAACAAAATTTTTAAGGATTAAATTTAAAAATAAAGGTATTTTTATATATAATTTATATTCATTAGATGAATCTACCTTAGTAATATTAGATGAAATAAGTAATTGCAATATAAATCTTATGCGGATTTCAGATTCTGAAAGAGCAGATTTAGTCTCTTCATTCTAAAAGTAACGCTGATGAATTATGAAAAAAATGCTAAAACGACCACATCTAAAAGCGGTCATATCATGACTTTCAGCGACGTCGAACAAATTGCGAAGACGCACGGCAAATTTTTGCGTTGCAACGTTTGTAAAAGAGTCTAAAAGATACCACTATCACTTTGGAACCTCTCGGCCCAGTTTGCACAACGTCGTGTGCAACTTGGGTTGCCAATCTAGGGAAAGCTTCGCAATAACAAGATAACGCCTTCTTTATGATTGCGAACATGCTTAATCATTCTGGATTTATTTGAGGGAAAGTGTTTAAGATTTACTTCATAACTTTCAACAGATATTTTGAGTTTTTATGTATTTATTCTCCTTGTCGGGAAGTGAGAACTCAATTAGTTAAATTAAAAATACTGAATGTCTGTGAAAAACTGTTTCTTTTTTGTTTTGTGTGCTTAATTTATTTTATACATCGTTTTAGATTTATTATAGTATTTGAATAGAACATGTTGCAACGATTAAATAATTCTTCAAATGATATAATTTTGTGCATTCTGATTTATAATATGAATGAAATGTAACGTTGTTAAATGAGTCTAAGGCCAGACTATCGCTATGGTAAACAAATATAGTGAATTTTAAAGAGTGCATTTATTCTATTGTGCTGTATGTGCTATCGACGAAATAAATTTAATTCAATCCGATAAATTTAAATGAAATGCACGAAAAAATGCGTATAATTTAATATTCCGTGCAAGGAAGTCATGTGGTATACACATAAGATTTTTTTAACTTATAAAACATACAGATGTTAAATGCACTAAATTCTGAAAAGAATTCTTTATTCCAACAAAAAAGGAACAGATACTGTAATGGAAAGGGTGAAGAATTCTGGGAAAAAAAAAAAAAAAAAAAAAACATACCCTTTTTAAAGTAGGTAGAAAATTTATATGTTAATTTAAAGTAAACGTTGAGACAAAATACACAAAATTTGCCATCACTTGTTGGTGGAAAAAAAAAGCGTGCGGCACGCGAAGCTAGCTAAAAAAATTTACTTATAGAAAGCAATCCATGTTTTGAATTGCTTTCCTATAAGTAAAATTTTTGAGGGTAAGTAAAATTTTTGAATTTCCTATAAGTAAAATTTCCTTTACATACATTTTTCAGTGAAGACATGGTGAACAACCAGCTGTTGGCAGCATCGGTTGGCGAATCGACGGAGATGCTCTTATATATATACATGTATACTGTACATCTGGTTTTGAATCAAGCTTCTGTCGTTGCACATCCAGAGTTTCTCTCCCCCCCCCAGTTTTAGCTACAGATAAATGGGGTATTTTGAGCAACCTTAGCATACATTGATAAGTATATTTCATTGAGATTTCTGCCCTACTTGTTATTCAAGGTTAGAACGCAATGCCTCTCAGTTATATGTGCTTTATTGCAAGTATATGAGTCATTAACGAAAATCAAGTCATTGTCATCCACTTACATATTGTAGTTTTATTCCGAGGCTCAACTGTCTAAGCAGTACTTCCCAGAGCTATTCCTGCCATCTAATAGCGTTCTGATCGGAGTTATATATCCACAGATTGGCAGTAAGCGATGCATATGTTTATTGGCTATGATAAAGCAGATTGGTCATAGTGTGCAAAACTTGTTCATACCATCACACCAACTCTTTTATTAAACAATTTTTCCGTTAAATGAATTATTAAGTACTTGTAGGTAATAAAAATATTCTTTATGAAGTTTTTACCACTAAAAGCGAA